GATCCCGTCAGTCGCCTCTTACGACAAGCATAGTCGCCTTTTACGGCAAGCAAGGTAAATACCAGTAAGCACATAGCTAGATACCAATATGTTCTTTAAAATAGAGTGAGACATCAGCAATATTTCAGCCAGTTCGTGATCTTAGAGACAGAGAATCAGATGAAATAAAAGTAGATGAAAATACTTACAGAGCAGTTGTATCTTCTTGCGATGATGATTTCTGAAAATCAAGGTTGCATTATATAGACAAACGGTGTGACAAATACGCGGTGTGTTAACACCTTCTTCTTTGAACCAGTCATTTAAAAGCTTTCACACTCCACGTATCCTCTATTCCCGCGTGGGAACTTCAGGGGTCTTTTTTTTATTTCACATGTACAAATGCTCCTGGAGCATATCCTGCAATCATCAGCTGCATCAATGCCACGTCTCCATATTCCAGGATTTCAATGAACTTAAAAAAAACGCAACTGCACAGCGTGTGAACATCATCTGTGGATGAAAGACCATCCCCTAGGCTTGCATTTGATTGTATCTAGTTTGGTTATACAGACCAATCAGCATTTTGTGCAAACAGGATGTGTCAGTGTTGAGTTCTGGTGTATGGAGCGTCCATAATAATATACTATTGCGTCATAAAACAGACCTGCTTCACATGGTTTTGGTTACCAGTGGTTATAACAGCGACCCGCTCCACAAAGCAATCTTAGTGCTGAGGTGATCGTTAATCCCACATTTTAGTGAGTGAGTGAATTGGGTTAAACGCCGCTTTTAACAATATTCCAGTTATATCACGGCGTGTCAGCTTAATGTGGGAGGAAAGCCCGAAGTGATGCAGGTCTCAGACGTTTACCACCTCGGTGAAACCAACGAGTACGGGTATGGTGCTGACAAACCTAGAAACATAATCGGGGCGAATCGGTATTCGAACCCACAATCATAGGTTTCTGGCGTGCCCAAGGGACGCAAGTCTGCACATCAAATTTCGGCGCCTCAGACGACTGTGCCACTTCGCTGTGGATCATGGGTGCCTCAGCTTCCTACACAATACCCAATACAATACCACAATGCAATATTTACGTCATCACTTTCGCTACGGTTAGTTGTTCACAATTCTAGCCAAAATAATAATAAAAGAACTATGTTCAGCTATGAGTTGGCCGCCTCCATGGTCTTGCAGAGCGTCCGCCCAGAGAGCAGAAGGTTGGGGGTTCAATTCCCAGCCGCGTCATACCCTAAAGACGTAAAAATATGGTACTTGTTGTCACCCTGCCTGACGCTTGGCATTTAAGGGGCTAAAACAAGGTCTGGTCGGCTCGGAGTCAGTATACTGTGTCTGAGTTGGGTATTCATGTTAAATTGGGGCATGGTTTTCTCAGTGTGCTAGCACTATAAATCGGCATCAGTCCGGACTAGTACAAACAGCCACACACACACATACACGTGCATGGACACACACAGGTCATACATATCACTTTATAAGCGATATGGCGCTCATGAAGAGCAACCTCCACGTGGTGAATGCTGGGTAGCGCCAATAGCTCTTCCCCTGTGTTGACCCGGGGTAGAATGTGTCCCCAAAACCCCGGCCCATTGCTGGTCGTAAAAGGCGACTAAATTAGGCAGCCTGTTTGCCGTGGGTTGCGCCCCTGTGTCAGCAGAAAAAGGTAGTTTGGTGGTTGAGGGTGCCGGATCCGGCAATTATGGAATACTGTAAGGGACATTCTCGCGATCTCGCATTCTCGTGTTTTGGGCATATTTACCTCGTTTCCAAAGGTCGAGATTGCGAGAATGCGAGAATGCGAGATCGCGAGAATGTCCCTTAGAGTATTCCATAGGCAATAGTGTTCCTCAGCCCAACACACCACTTTGATCCTAACTTTGCCTAGACGGGTGGTAGAAAGGGCCCTATTCTATCAATCGGCTGGTCATGCCAAGCCCTGAGCACTTTACTTTTCTTGCTCTTTTTATTCTTTGGCTTGAAAGTCTGTTTATGACAGAAATGATTGAATGTTCATGCATATTAATTTTCACACTATTTGATAAATACAAAATTTGCCAAGATACCAGTGTCGTATTATTTAATATTTTCAATCATATCTGTACAACGGGGGATTTCCCTTTATCACGGCTGTTGTTATATGCCAATACCGAAACCTGGCCGATACCGCTTACAAGCTGTGTATACAAGTCCATGGAAAGAATGGTAAATAACCGACTTATATGGTATTTAGAAACAAATAATCTTTTAACAAATATTCAAAGTGGTTTTAGAAAAAAAGAAGTACCGTTGACCATTTGGTTAGACTGGAAACTTTAGTGAAAAATGCTATCATTAATAAACAACATGCGGTATCAATATTTTTCGATTTAATTTTCAAGATTTAAAGATTTTACGTGCGTTTCAAACATTGTGGAAAAAATAACATTACGTTAATTATTTTTCGAATTTTAAAATATCTTCATGAAATTGGGATTGAGAGGGCTTTTGCCAAATTGTGTATCTCAGTTTTTAAAAGATAGAAATTTCCATGTTTGTCCGGGATCCACCTTGTCTGATTTTTATGATCAAGATCAAGGTGTCCCAAAGGTAGCCTCTTATCAGTAACGCTGTTTAGCATAAAAAATATTAGTTTTAAATAACTCTGTTGACGGGTCTTTGTTTGTTGATGATTTTAATGTATCACTTCGAGGTAAACACATGCACACGATTGAGAGACAGTTGCAACTTTGTCTGAATAAAATCAATGTTTTGGCAGAGCAGAACGGATTTCAGTCAAAAACAAATTTCATTAATTTCTGTCGATAATATAAACCACATAGAGATTTACATCTAGTTGGAACTCCAATTAAACATGTAAAAGAAGCTAAATCTTTAGGAATATTTTTTTTTCATCACCTTACGTTTTTGCCACATATTAAATATTTGAAAGCTAAATGTCTGAAGGCACTAGATTTATTAAAGGTTGTTTCTTATTCCAAGTGGGGAGGAGATCAAACGACCCTCCTTCACTTATATAGATCACTTGTCCGTTCTAAACTCGATTATGGCTCCATCATCTATGGTGGAGCTTGTAAAAGTAACCTTAAATTACTCGATCCAATACACCATCAGGGTCTAACGCTTTGTCTTGGGTCTTTCAGAACTTCTCCCGTTGACAGTATGTATGTTGAGGCCGATGGGTCATCTCTTAAACAACGCCGTATTAAACTATCTCTACAGTGCATCACAAAGCTATACTCTTATCAGTCTAACCCTGCATACAACTGTGTGTTTAATCCTCTTTATTGGAATCTGTATAGTTAGAAGTCCTCTCTTATTCCGACTGTCGGAATAAGAATAAAACCTTATATTTCTGCTGCTGGTATTAAACTGGAAAATATATCTCCTTTCCGCCTGCTTTCTTCTCCCCCTTGGCAATTGGTAAAGCCACAGGTGAATCTTACCTTATCAAAGCTCAAGAAATCTGACACTAATCAACTACAATATCAACAAAAATATAATCAGTTCAGGTGTGAATATGATACTTATAAATCTATTTTTATTGATGAATCCAAGGATGGTGATGCTGTTGCCAGTGCCACTATCATTGGATCCAGAGCTTTATAACTCATCCATTTTGCCCAGCTGAATCAAATACCATTTTAACTGCTCTAGAATATATGAATAAACAGACTAAAAATAAGGAATTCATTATTTTTTCAGACTCGCTGTTCCGTCTCCAAGCAATAAAGAATACTTCGTGTCAGCATCCAGTTGTACGTGACATAATTGAATTACATAACAATCTTGCGACTGGTCAATGCGATATCGACTTTTGTTGGTTGCCCAGCCATGTTGGGATCGTTGGTAACACTTTGGCTGCTGCTGTTGCTGCTGCTAAGGCAGCACTCAACAAATCTGTGACACCACTTCTTATACCCTACAGTGAATGTAAACCTGTAATTAGATGTTACATCAGAGATCTCATGCAGAAGAAGTGGGACACCCACGTAGTTATAAAATTAATACATTACATGCAATAAAACTAAAATATCGGTTACACCCTCTTCGGTTGTCAGTCTAGATTTGAAGAAGTCGTTTTAAGACGATGTCGTATTTGCAATTCTCGGTATACTCATAAATACTTATTAAAAGGTGAGAATCCTCCATTCTGCATCCATTGATGAAAGAATCACGGTCAAGCATGTCTTGCTTGACTGTGTTGATTTTTCCATAACAAAGGATAACCATTTCAAAGTTTCATGGCTCAAGGATGTTTTTAATCAGGTAAGTACTCATTTAATTATTGTTTTTTTTTAAAGAAATAGAATTATTGAATACATTTTGAAACATGGTTTTGTAAATTTTGTAAGGATTTTTTGAGACTTGGTTGAAAGAAATTTGTTAACTGAGATTGTTTGTGGCTTTACCCTTGATATGGGTTGAAGTAGTGTAAAATGATTGTGCCCAGAGAGGGAATGTTAGACCACGTCATTCGAAGTAGTTTTTTTCCACCACATTTTTAATCGTAGTATATATGTTCATTTAACTTTGGCTTAATTTATCAATAATCCCCAACAGCTGAAGGGATGATTTAAATCCAGCTGGGGTCCATGTAGGTAGCAAAAGATGGTGATCTACCTTCAACTGATGGCGATCTTCAAACCATGGCTGCTTTGTCTTTGACCGTGGTCTAACTAACTGAATTGTTAGTTAAACACCACTGAGCAATGACGGAACTGACCTGACCACCCGATCCCGTTAGTCGCCTCTAACGACAAACATAGTCGCCTTTTACGGCAAGAATTGGTTGCTGAAGACCTAATCTACCCCGGATAGCAATATTCAAACATATCAAAGTAGGATATAAAGATATTTGGCTTCAGACATTGTTCCCTTGAGTGGAATCGAACCCAGGTCTTCGAAGTGACATGCCAATACTGTACGTACAAGGTTACGTCCCTCCCCTTAAATCCCCAGAGAACAGCAACACTAAAACATCAACACAACGACAAACTCTGCTTCAAGGATTTATTATGTTAACATAATCAGGGACGTCCGAGTGATTTACAAGCTGCACAAAGCCTTTCATCATCCGGAATGGATCCTGAAAACACAAGACATGACATGACAGACTCCTACCCACACTGTGTCGCCTGTGTTTCTATGCGTCAGTAGGCTGACGAATCCCGCCTGTGGATCCTGCGCCGTTGCCTGGAATATGGATGGATATCACATGAGGTTCCTGAACCTACTTGTATTCAACATTCTTAAAGAACATAAATCTTAGCAAAATCTTACAATTGTTCACTTCATTATTTGGGCACGGGTGGCCAAGTCGTCTAAGGCGCCGCGATTCGCTGTGCAGAGTTGCGCAGACTTATTTTACCCCGGATCTTCACGGGTCTGAAAGTGATTCATACACACCTAAGGCATAGTCTGGAAAAAAACTCTGCTTTTATAAGAGATGTGTAATGAAATGGAAAGGCGTTTGTTGCTTTTATTATCTTTTTAATGACGCAGTATTACCTCCATGACTTCCTCGATTGGCTGTCTCAAACAGATCTCTGGCGCTGATCAGCTGCTCATCGTTCTCTGATTGGTCAGCATTCTCATCTGCGTTCTCGATTTCTGAAAAGCATAAAAAATGCAAAAGAATGAGGATTGACTGTTGGTTTGTTCTAATAAAAAGGCATGAACACATTAAACATATTTTTGTCATTGATTGCCTCCCAGCTTGGCTACATTTCTCAACGAAATATCACTCTTTGCCTTCCCTGCATGGATTTACCAACATGTGTTTCTGGTAACCGTCACCCTTGTCCTGTCATAAAACAAATCACAAATGTTAGACCCACCCCCATAAACTTTCACCACATGTATTTGTTGATTGTAAAAGGCAGGATTGTAAAAGGCATGAATCTTAGAAATTATGGTTCGGGGGAATACTGACGTAAAATGACTACTATTGGTATACATCCTACATCCTACATCTCCGTGGGGTGTCCGGGTTAGAATAGACCCCAAGAAAATCGTGTAATCAGACTCAAGTGATTTTGTTGATTGTATGGCATCGTACTCCAACAGCGTGGGACTTTGTTCATAATATCAATCACTAGTTCATTTCGTACACACTCAGATATTTACAGAGCCCCTAGATTAATGATGCATGCGATGGTAATTAGCAAACAAAACATCAAACATCAATTCAGGAATTGTTTAAGGAATTGTTTATGAAGATGCACGTGATTTGATGTCTGTCTAAGTCTAAACGATACAAATTCAATACGCATATATAATGAATCACCTTGAGACACATGTCTTCTTATCAAAATAGATGAAAAACACAAGAAGTTACCTTTCTTTCTTGATCTCACATTTAACACCTTGACAACTGCCTTGAAACAACAAGCTTAAATCATACCTCTCTTCCCATTGAATCTTCGGTACCTGAACCTTGATCTGACGCCCGGACAGCGAGACAACACCCTTGCTGCTCTATAGATACATGATGTAGTTGTTCTCCAATACATCCTGATCCGGTAGGGGCTGTAGTGTCTTTGTCCATCAGCGTGTATCGCCAGCAGGCACACCAACAGAGCCGCGACAAGTATCAGCTTCATCACGTCTTTCTGAGGGACAATTGCATCTGCTTCGTGTATCTTGAAAGTGTTTTGTGTTTTCGCGTCTGTTTAATTAATGGAACGCCTTTATGACATTGCCGTAAAAGGCGACTAACGGGATCGGGTGGTCAGGCTCGCTGGTTGATGCATGTCATCGATCCCACATTGCGAGGATCGATGCTCATGATATCAATCACTGGATTGTCTGGTCCAGACTCGATTATTTACAGAACGCCGTCATAAAGCTGGAATATTACTGAGTGTGGCGTTAAACAACAAACCAACCAACCAATCGTGCCCTAAACGAACATCCCCCTTTTTTTAATTTCAAGCAAATTTCCTGATGTCTGTACAATGTCTTGCCTGACAAAGGTGTAAGGATATGGACAGACATTACAGAAAAACTAAGAATTTGTTATCCATAAATTGTCTACGTTGTCAACAAAATGTGTGTTACTGGTTATTTTATACAGGTTATGCACTAAAATGACAGGTACGCGCTTCAGTATTGGTCAAACGATAATAGAGTTGGTAAAGCATTAACGACACCTATCGCATACGTTGGATCGTGAAGTTACAAGGCCGTTTGATGACAGTTGAATGTATGCCAATATACCGGGGCCCCTTTCTCTGTGTCCTGATAAGTTAGGACGTAAAATTCCAAACCAAAACATCCCCAAAAGAGATTATTAACCCAAACCTTGCTATCTAAGAAAGTTTGCCTCGCTGTGCCTGAGATGTTCATGCACTCTCATCCTGATTTGTAATATTTTAGATTTTGTTGTTGTTTGTTTCTTTGTTTGTTTTTTGTTTAACGCCGCATTTAGCAATATTCCAGATTTATGACGTCGGTCTGTAAATAATCGAGTCTGGACCAGATAATCCAGTGATTGGTTTTATGAACATCGATTCACGTAATTGAGATACGATGACATGCATCAACCATGTCAGCGAGCCAGACCACCCGATCCCGTCAGTCGCCTTTTACGGCAAGCAAGGTAAATACCAGTAAGCACATAGCTAGATACCAATATGTTCTTTAAAATAGAGTGAGACATCGGCAATATTTCAGCCAGTTCGTGATCTTAGAGACAGAGAATCAGATGAAATAAAAGTAGATGAAAATACTTACAGAGCAGTTGTATCTTCTTGCGATGATGATTTCTGAAAATCAAGGTTGCATTATATAGACAAACGGTGTGACAAATACGCGGTGTGTTAACACCTTCTTCTTTGAACCAGTCATTTAAAAGCTTTCACACTCCACGTATCCTCTATTCCCGCGTGGGAACTTCAGGGGTCTTTTTTTTATTTCACATGTACAAATGCTCCTGGAGCATAATCCTGCAATCATCAGTTGCATCAATGCCACGTCTCCATATTCCAGGATTTCAATGAACTTAAAATAAACGTAACTGCCCAGCGTGTAAACATCATCTGTGGATGAAAGACCATCCCCTAGGCTTGCATTTGATTGTATCTAGTTTGGTTATACAGACCAATCAGCATTTTGTGCAAACAGGATGTGTCAGTGTTGAGTTCTGGTGTATGGAGCGTCCATAGTAATATACTATTGCGTCATAAAACAGACCTGCTTCACATGGTTTTGGTTACAAATGGTTACAACAGGGACCCGCTACACAAAGCAATCATAGTGCTAAGGTGATCGTAACTCCCATACATTGACATAGGCTTATGATAGTCGTAGCGCTAAGATCCGCTTTGTGGAACGGGAGCAAGGTCCCTTAAAACATCTCACCATGGGAGGAACACAGAGTTTGAGACACTGTTGACTTTAGTTAGTTCTATATAGATTTGATTTTAATTCTCGCAGATCAATCTTAGCACAAAAGAATGAGCGAGTTACTTAAATTTAACGTCGCATCGGCATAATTTCAGCAATATAGCGATGAGAAGAAGTTGATATATATATACAACTAAGTCATGAATACAAAGTTATATTGTAAATCAATTTTGTCAAACATATTTTATCATAACAATAATTATTATTTACGACCAAAGCTGGGCCACCTCGCTGTGGATCATGGGTGCCTTAGCTTCCTACACAATACCCAACACAATACCACAATGCAATATTTACGTCATCAGTTTCGCTACGGTTAGTTGTGCACAATTCTAGCCATAATAATAATAAAAAAACATGTTCAGCTATGAGTTTGCCGCTTCCATGGTCTAGTAGATTGTCCGCCCAGAGAGCGGAAGGTCGGGGGCTCAATTCCAAGCCGCGTCATACCAAAAGACGTTAAAATATGGTACTTGTTGTCACCCTGCCTGACGCTTGGCTAAAACAAGGACTGGTCGGCTCGGAGTCAGTATACTGTGGATATTTATGTGAAACTGAGGCGTGGTATCTCAATGGGCTAGCACTGTAAAACCAGTAACTTTGGATCAGATGCCCGCTCACACGAGAAAAAAGATCTTTTACTTTTTTAAATGTGAATCCCTTACAATTGCGAAGTCAACAGGCTACAGCCAAGCATAATATGTTTGATGGTGAATCTTTCATCACGTGGGATACAATTACAGTCCATTTGGCTCTGAATGAGAACGATAAATTGAGTAACTCAATTTTGTTTGTTTGTTTGTTGTTTAACGCCGCATTCAGCAATATCCAAGCTATATGACGGCGGTCTGTAAATAATCGAGTCTGGACCAGACAATCCAGTGATTGACATCATGAGCATCGATCCACGCAATTGGAATATGATGACATGCATCACCGAAGTCAGCAAGCCTGACCACCCGATCCCGTTAGTCGCCTCTTACGACAAGCATATTCGCATTTTACAGCCAGCATGGGTTGCTGAAGACCTATTCTACCCCTGATCTTCACGGGCACCGGCTTTTGAGTTACATGCTCTGCCTACATGACTTGGCAAATAGCAACAGACCATGACACATTGGCCAGTAGAAGGATCATTGAAACGTTCTCAAATGTCAAGGAGAAACGGATGATTCAGCAGCAAAGATTAAACTATTTTCTGTGATTCTTGAGGAGATAGTTTTGGATCCAATGACAGTGGCACTTGCAACTTTGCCTCCACTCATGGACCCGTCTGTAAAAATGGATCTATGAGAATTATGCTTTGTCCGTAAATGGTAATATTCTTGCTGATTACCAAAGGATTTGTTCAGATTCTATTAGCACGATGAGGCTAAGGTCTACCTCTGTCTTCACCATCTGCCAGGGAGGACAAGGCAGAAGTCGATAAGGGGAATAAAATTTAAATCTATTTTAGCTTTAGTGATGTGTGGTTGATTTCTGATTCCGAGTGGTGGAACCAGGTTTGATAAATTTCTAAACAGTCCTTTATAAACAGGGTTGAAGACACAATTGTATGCTAGGTCTGATTGATTTGAATGCAATTTAGTGATAGTATAATGATAGAATAATGCGGCGTTGTGAAAGGGGAGGTTCATCAACCTCCACACACAGATTGTCAACAGGAGAGCTCCAGTACTCAGCCTTAGGCCCGTGATGGTGTATAATGCCTATCTAAGTTGATTTTGAAGGCTCAACCATAGACAACGGAACCATAATCTAGTTTAGAGCGTATTGGTGACATGTACAAGTGAAGGAGAGTTGTTTGATCCCCTCCCCACTCCAGGCACTCTGCCTTTAGATATTTGATATGTGGCATGAATGTTAGATGAGGGTCAAATATTCGGCCAGAATGTTTGCCTCTTCGACTACCTTCAAAGGTGCATCATCTAAAACCAATTCTGGGTCCTTATGCGGTTTGTATTTACGACAAAAAATGAATGCAATTTGTTTTGGATTTAGAAAACTTTAAGCCATTTTCGTCGGCCCATTTAACCTTTTGTTAGAACATAGTTGTAGCTTTCTTTCTATTGTATGCATATTCTAACCAAAACATGAAAGGTTGAAATCTTCCACAAAAAGTGAACCGTCAACACAATTGTTCAAAACTTTAATGAGAATATTAATTTTTATGCTAAAAGGTGTGACCAATATGATGCCAATAGATCCCACACGTACTTGAAATTGACTAATCGATTGTTGACCATGGGCTCAATGGTTTTACACACACAGCTAGTTAAATGATATGGGACAGTAATTGGATTGATCGGTATGATCCCGGTCAGGCTTTGGGACAGGAATGATGACATTGTGCCACGAAGGAGGGAACTTTCCGGTTGTCCATATTTCATCAAATATACTAAACAGCGTTTCCATACATGAATCGGACAAATATTTCAGCAGCTGAAAATGAATGTTGTCGGCTCCTGCTGCAGTGTCATGATCTTGGCTTAGGGCAGTATATATACTGAACAACCAAAGTTCCTGTGACATTGAATAAGTTTTAATGCAAAGTTATGTTTTTTACCAAATCTGAAACAATTTCGGTTTGCAACAGATAAAAGACTCCTGTAAGTGTTCAAATGGTTTAATTTGCCATACTGACTTCAGAAAATGGGTGATTTCATAAAAGATCCATGAACATGCCAAAATGTCGATTTACAAATCAATAGCGTGTGTGTCCACCTCTGGTTGCGATGCAAGCAACACATCTTCGTCTCATGGAATGGACCAGGCGTCGCACAAAGTCCTGTGGCATATCTGTCCATATCAGCTGGAGCATGTTTCGAACTTCCTGGGGGCGCCGATCCATCTCATCCCACATGTGCTCGATTGGTGAGAGATCAGGGGATCGAGCCGGCCAGGGGATGACATTCACGTTGTTTTGTTGAAGAGAGTCCTGAACAAAGCGAGCAATATGAGGCCTGGCGTTGTCATGTTGAAAGATAATGCCTGGGCCATGACGACGCAAAAACGGTAGAACAACAGGGCCGATGATCTCTTCGCGGTAGCGCTGTCCATTGAGATTTCCCTCTACCACTATCAAACGGGTCCTCTGTCTTGCTGTAATCCCACCCCATACCATAACGCTGCCGCCCCCGAAACGATCTTCTTCCATGACACAATGATTGACGTAACGTTCACCTCGACGTCGGTACACTCGAATCCGTCCATCTCTGTGGCTGAGGTGAAAACGAGAGTCGTTAATGAATAGAACTTGTCCCCACTGCATGGCCGTCCAGCGTAGACGCTGTCTGCACCACTGCAGACGTGCTTGCGGTGGTTTCCTGTCAAAATGGGACGTCTTGCGGGTCTTCTGGCGACAATCCCTGCACATCTGAGGCGACGATGTACGGTTTGTGAAGATATCCGTCGAAGGCCAGGGATGCTTCTTGCAGTCACTGTTGCTGGCTGGAATCGATTTCGTTGGTGTGTTGTTCGAATCCAGTTGTCTTGTCGATTATTGGTTACGCGTGGCCTGCCACTCCGAGGATGGTCTCTGACTGCATTCGTCTGTTGCCAACGTTGCCATAAACACCAAATGGTGTTTCTGTGGACGTTAAATTGTCTTGGAACATCAAGTTGACGCGATCCTGCTTCAAGCATACCAATGGCTCGAAGACGTTCATTTTCGGACAGGCGTGGCATTTCGTAATGTTGAATAATTGCGTAATTCTGTTTTTCTGAGTGGTTGTTGTCAGCACGATGCTAAACAATGCATATGGAATCCCGTTAACGCACATGTTTTTATACCCATTCTTGGGTAGTGAAATGCATGGGGCTTGCATAAAAGTCAACTTTTGCATGGAATGCATGCTGTTCTGTAGCAGTTGCGTTTTTGTGACTTGATTCCATACATGTACTACAATATTGAAAACCAAACTTTACTTGTTTGAAAAATACACTAAAATGTTGGTGTCACAGGACCTTTTATTGTTGAGTATAGTTCATGGAGTGAACATGTTATGTTGTAGTCCTCACCATTATCATTATAGTCTTTTCCTGTTGTTTTTGAAATCTCTGAAACTGAGGGTTATAATTAGATGATGAGGAATGGCTTGCTATAGTTTCGCCAAGTTTGTTGGCAATTTTAGATTTAGTTGTCAATAACGAACTCAAGACTTTGAACCTTTGCCCTTAATATTTTGAATCATGTTCCACACCTTAGACATGGATATGCGAGAATTGATTTTTGATGCATAAGATTAACGTTTATTTTGTTCAATAGTACGTCTCGACTTGGCGCTTGTGATTTTAACGTTATTCAGGTTTTCCACGGGAGGATGTTGGCGGAAATATTTCTCAGCTTTCTTCCTATCATTATCAAACCATGGTTTACTTATAAGAGGGTTTTCAGACGACTACTTAGGAATGCTTAGTCTCCAATAGCATTTAATTGATCTGAAACATTCCTGAAATTGTCAGGTTATAGTTTCTCAG